CTTTACGGGAGCAGAAAGCCTCATCTTTCTCCCACGGAACAGCTGGTAGTTTCGAACTGCCGACCTTGAGGTTTGCAGCCCAATTCGTAACCACTTAGGAAGTCTTTTTTCCCCTGCCGCTCTCTTGGCACTTGGCGCTCATTGCTTGACTTCCTTTCCTCTGCTGTCGTCCAGCTCCAGATACAGCTGACATCATGGGTTTCAGAGAACCTGAAAACCCTCGCCAGACTCCAGGTTCTCAATGATTACCTGGCTGACAAGAGCTACATCGAGGGGTATGTGCCATCACAAGCAGACGTGGCAGTATTTGAAGCAATCTCGGGCCCTCCACCTGCCGGCTTGTGTCATGCCCTACGTTGGTATAATCATATCAAGTCTTATGAAAAGGAAAAGGCCAGCTTGCTAGGAGTGAAGAAGTTTTGGGCAAGTACAGACCCACTAATGTGGAAGACACCACAGGAAGTGGAGCTGCTGACAGTAAGGATGACGATGACATTGCTCTCTTTGGATCTTTTGAGGAGGAAGAGGAAAGTGAAGACGCGAAGAGGCTAAGAGAACAACGCTTTGCACAGTACAAGTCAAATAAAGCCAAAAAGCCTGCGCTTGTTGCCAAGTCTTCAATCTTGCTTGATGTGAAACCTTAGGATGATGAGAAAGACATGGCCAAATTGGAAGAGTGCGTTACAAGCATTCAAGCAGACAGCATGGTCTGGGGCTCTTCTAAGTTCGTTCCAGTGGGATATGGAATTAAAAAAACTTCAAATACAGTGTGTAGTTGAAGATGATAAAGTTGGCATACATATGCTGGAGGAACAGATCACTGCTTTTGAAGACTATGTGCAGTCCACAGATGTGACTGCTTTCAATATGATTTAAAATTCATCCTGAATGGTGGCATTTAAATAAAACTTTGAAAGACAGAAAAAAAAAAGGTCATTAGGAACACAAGAAAGAAAAGAGCAAAATGGATGACAGAAGAGACTCTGATACTAGCTCTCCAGTGCAGAGATGCTAAAGCTAATGGAAGAAGTGAGGAGGTTAACAAGAGCTGAAGAGAGAATTTCAAAGGTCAGCTCGAGAAGACAAAGTCAAATATTATAATGAAATATGCAAAGGCTTGGAGTTAGAAAACTAACAGGGAAGAACACACTCAGCATTTCTCAAGCTGAGGGCACTGAAGAAAAAATTTAAGCTTGGATTTGAAATATTGTAAGATTCCATGGGCAAAATACTGCATGACGCAGAAAGCATCAAAAGAAGCAGCTTTGGGCAAGTACAGGCAAAAGGAGGGGAGTGGTTGACTTTGCAGTCCAGGAGTGGAGGTCCCTGGGACCAATCAAGGGAGAAGAACAGAGTGCAGGACCCTACCCAGAAAAACAGTGATGCCAGAGAAGGAGGCAGAGATGAAAACATGGAGAGATGGAGCAGCGGGGGGACTCTAGACCCAGAGAGGGCGAGGGATTTTGTGCTGACGACCAAGGGGCAGGCTTGCAGAGTATGAAAAAGAAAAGAAAAAAAAAGATGGAAGGAATATACAGTCACTGCATAAAAAAGAAATGGTCACTGTTCAACCATTTTAAGAGGTAGCATATGATCAAGAGTCAAAGATACTGAAGGAAGAAGTCCAAGTTGCATTGAAGATATCGCAAAGGACATGACTCCGGAAATTGATGGAATTCAAATTGAAATCTTTCAAACAAATGGAGGCAGCACTTGAGGCACTCACTTATTTATGCCAAGAAATTTGGAAGACAGTTTACCTGGCCAATGACTAGAAGAGATCCATATTTGTGCCCATTCCAAAGAGCAGTGACCCAACAGAATGTGGAAATCATCAGACAATATCATTAACATCACATGCAAGTAAAATTCGCTAAAGATAATTTTTTAAAAAAATGGCTGTAACTATACATCAACAGCGAACTTCCAGAGTTCAAAGAATAGGACATGGGTCGAGGGATGTCATTGCTGACGACAGATGGATCTTGGCTGAAAGCAGAGAATACCAGAAAGATGTTTACCTATGCTTTCAATTGTGTGGATCATGACAAGTTACAGATAACATTGCGAAGTATGAGTATTCCAGAACACTTAATTGTGCTCATGAGGAACCTGTACAAAGACCAAGAGGCAGCTGTTTGACAAGAGCAAGGGAACACCGAATGGTTTAAAATAAGGAAAGGTGTGTGCTAGGGTTGTATTCCTTCACTATAGTTATTCAATCTTTATACTGAGCAAATAATATGAGATGCTGGATTATATGGAGAAAAATGTGTCATCAGGATTGGAGTTAGAATCATTAATAGCCTACAATATGCAGGTGATGCAACCTAGCTTGTTGAAAGTGAAGAGGACTTAAAATACTTACTGATGAAGATCAAAGACCACAGCCTTCCGCATGGGGTGTACCTCAGTGTAAAGAAAACAAAAATCCTCACACCACTGGACCAAGAAACAACATCCATAAAACGGATCAACCATTAAAACTCAAGGAAGCAGCAGTCAAGAAATCAAATGATGTATTGCATTAGGCAAATCTGTCGCACAAGACCACTTTGAAGTGTTCAAGAGTAAAGATGCCAGTTTCGGGACTAAGGCTGCACTTGACCCAAGCCATAGTATTTTCATTAGCTTCATATACATGTGAAAGTTAAACAGTGAATAAGCAAGACCACAGAAGAATTGATGCATTTGAGTTATGTTGTTTGGAGAAGAATATTAAAAGTACCATGGATTGCAAGGAGAACAAACACATCTATGTTGGAATTAGTATAGCCAGAATGCTCCATGCTCCTTAGAAGCCAGGATGGCCAGACTTCATCTCTCATACTTCAGGCATATCGAGAGGGGCCAGAGAAGGAAATGCTAGGTAAAGTGGAAGACTCCCTCTTGCTTCTGAGATGGCTCATTTTAAACACACGTTTAAGAAGAGGAAGACCTCCAGCAAGATGGATGCACACTGGCAGCAGCAATAGTCTCCAGCTTAACAACGATTGGATTGTGAAGATGGTGCAGGACCGGGCAGTGTTTTAGTCTGTTGTGCATAGGTCTCTATGAGTCAGAACCAACTTGAGGTCACCTAACAACAATCCAGTATACCTAGGAGCCCTGGTAGTATAGTGGATAATGACCTAAGCTGCTAACAATAAAGTCAGCAGTTCAAATTTACCAGCTGCTTCACAGGGCTTTATAGCCTTGGAAATCCTATACAGCAAGGGTGGAGAATCTTTTTTTCTGCCAAAATTTATAAAATCATTCACAGGCCATACAAAATTATCAACTTAAAAATCAGCCTGCTGTATCTGGTCAAATATTTAATTAATTCACCCCTAATGTGATGGCTGGAACTGTGGTTGCCTTGGCACGGCCAGACCAAAGCATTTTGCAGACCTTACTTATATGGAGTCCTGGTGTGGCACTGCAGGATGAAGCGCAGGACCATGAGACACAAGATCAGTGGCTCAAACTCACCAGTGATTCCTTGGAAACTCTATTCAGGGTTGCTATGATTTGGAACCAACTTGATGGCATACAACTACCACAACATACTTGGAATCCTGGCATGGTGCTATAGGATAAGCACTGGACTGCAAACTGAAGGTTGACAGTTCAAATCCTTCAGCTGTTCCCTTGGGAACCTCCTTATACACGGTTGCTATGAGTTGGAATCAACTCAAAAGCACTTAACAACTACAACATAGTGCATTCCTATCATCTCTAGCAATGTCTTAATTAAATTTCTTCTGTTTTCTAGTTGGTAAATCGTATTATTTGTGAAATGAAAATATGCTTATTTAGAAATAAATACTTTAACAGAAAGACTGTACAATGTTCCAATTTTTACAAGAATTTTAAAGATGTTTACTGGTCTCAATCATAAAATACTTATTTCTCTTTTTCTTGCTTTTGGGTAATCAGGAATGGGTGGGGTTTGGCACCTTATAAATAGGGTACAATAGTAATCTTTAGTGAGTTAAACAAAAATTTTCTTGGATCACAGCATAATTCTAGAACAATAAAAACGTCTTTTTCATTGTGTTTTTTTAGTGTTCTACACGGTAAACATGGGACTGGTACTCACAGGTGCCATATGCAGGCTCCCATTGTAATGACTTCATCTGGAACTTCTCCTCATCTGTTTCTACCTCCAGACTAGAAAGATACTGCTTCACTTTCCTTGCCATTTGAGCATCCTCGTATAACTTCTTGGCGTTAAGCAGGGAGCTGCGGCGAGCCCTTTTTTTGTGAGCACCTCCCTGAACATCCAGCATGTTTGAATTTGTGCTACCTTGACTCAATGACCTGTAAGAAGACAGAGATCTCAATAAGGGGATGTAAAGTTGCAAAGTGTGTCAGAATGAAGAGTAAAATAATTGTTATGTTAATACTATTGCATGCTGATGCAAATAAGTTAAAAGATAAAAAGCATTAATGCAAAGTAATTCAACACACATGGCAATGTTCTGAATTAAGAACAAGATTCAGCAAAGTGCAGAATTCAAAAGAGTAAGATAATAGGCCCCGACGACCCCATACCCTGCTGAGAATATTTCCTAAGATCTGTGTTTGTGCCTATAAATCCAGGACACAAGCAAAAGCCTTCCTCTAGCTCTAGGGGCCATCCACAATCAGGAGATACAGCAAGAGCCTGGGTCAAGACAAGTCCATGTAAACCAGGGTTTTCAGCAAGTGTGTTTTCAGAGCACCCTGACTTCTCTGTTCTACCCTGTAGATGCTACTGCCATCACCATTCCTGTTGGCCAAGTTTATCATTAACTAGATTTTGGTCAAAATTCAAAGAGAACAACCAGTAAGATACTAGTGAGAAATAACAGCATTTACATTCAATTAAGTATAGTCAGAGATTAGAAATGCAGTTTAAAAATTACCCAACGCTTTCATTTACATGCAGAAGGGGAAGGTGATATTTGGGTACTAGGAATATGGGGCCTCTCTTCTGCAGTTCCTCTGAATGTGATGGAACTAGGTTAAAACAGCCATAATTCAAAAACAAGCTACAGCTTTACTTTACTCTGCTTGGCAAACATCCTTTTACAATGACTCTATATACAGCCAATGGGAAATAAGAACTGTTTATCCATTCTAACAAAGTCAGCATATTCAAGGATTCTGAATGATTTTAATTTTGAAGGCAGTTGCTACGACAAATCATTCAAAAATAATACATGTATCTGGGTTTTCTAAATGGACCATGAATTTATACAAAAATACTCTAAATACACAGCCACACAACTTTTTCTTTAGTGCTCACACATCCAGCTTCAAATAGACAGTCAAATCCTACTCTTTTCATTATAAATTAAATGAAGCAGAGTTGGGGGAAAATTTGTATGGTGCTTTTCCCTCCACATTTCAAGATCTCTGAAATAGGGGTGTGCCTTACATCCAACAGCAACTTCCAGTTGCAACTGGTCAGGCATAATTAGTGATGTGGTTATCACTGCTGACATCCAATGGAATGAATAACTTTTCTTTCCCCCCAGTTTGGTTCACTTTATTGAAGTAAAAAAAATCTTTCAGTTAATGGGCCAATTAATGCCTGAGGGAGCTAGGAGAATTTCTTGTTAGCTTTGTTAAGTGCAACCCCCAGGAGGTGATTAAGAGGGCACTGAAAACAGTGCTGAGTATTGTGAACATTTGTTATTTACTGATACGTATTTGTTACATAATCAGGCTAGATCAGGGTTCCAATGAATAACTTTTCTAACTTCCAGGAACCAAATGATTATAAAAAGGGATAGTGAATGAGACAAGTTTAACAATATTCCCAAAGTAAGAATCAAAAGTTTTGCTTTAAGTAAGTATTTATTTGGGAAGCCAGTCTAAGAGTCCAGCACCAATGGCTTTAGTTCTTTTATGGCTTGTTTTAGGCAATGCTGCATCACCCAACACACCTCACAACATAGAGTGCAATATGCTCATATGTCTGAAGAAAAAAAGACACTAATGACTTTAGGAAGGATTCTGAAGATTCAGATTCTGCAAGTTTTAGAAATACCTTAATGAATTTACTTTGCTTGTATTTTCCTTTTTATGTAAATAAAAACCCACGGCTAAGTCTGTAAGAGAGAGGCTCTTTCAGTATAAAAATTCTTAGTGCTAAGAAATCACTGCAGTAATTTTTCTTAGTGGTACATAAAATAATCCAGTGTCTACCATCTGATGATGCCTTGAATTCAAAGAAATACAGTAAAACGACGACCCAATATTTAAGACCAAATATTTAATGATTTTTAAAAATTGATATCCAAAATAAAAGGGCGTATCCACAAATCTTTATTAGTCTATTAAGACATATAAAAACTAGTAAACAAAAAATATCTTCTAAGCTATTTCCAAGAGAGAAAAATGCTCGGACGTAAAAAACAAAAATATTTATGCCTCCAAGCATCGCAATATGATCTGAACTTGAACAGAGAAAGTATTATAAACATAGGCCATTCACACACTCCAAATACCCACTAAGATATATGGTACAAGTAATCTTCACAATAGTAATGCCAGGTATCAATTTCAACCAAGACAGAGATAAAAGATATGAGAAGAACACAACAGAGAAGAAAAAAAAAAAAAGAAAATCAAGTTCACTTTAACAGAAAATAAGACCACAAATAAGACAAGACTCAGGTTAAAATTAAGACACTTAGAAAGTGGCTCACAAAAAAAAACAAAAAATTCTTATATTAAAAGCATCTAACTTCATGACTCACTATAGTCTTAAGATAACAAAATTATTTTTATGTAATCCTTTCATCCATAAAAGTCATCTCATTTCTGGACCTCCTTATTCTCCAAAAATGAAAAGATTAGATAGTTGATTTCTAGAATCCTCAATGTTCTGATTCTAAATAAATACCGAGTTATGTATGAACAGAGACCTGAATCTACTTGAACAAAAGGTGATAAGTTTCTGATTCTATCACAGTTTTTAAGAAACAAGAAAGTCTTTGAAGTTTCAAGCCAGAATTTCAACAAAATTTAAAACAATTCCAAATGTCTCATGGTATTAGTGGATCTGAGGATCTTCTGGTTCCATTAAATAGTAATTCAACTTTATAGTACTTGGACAAAGGCCTCTTTTTAGAAATGGACACCAAGTACAACCTTTAAAAACAGATCTCTCCACCCATCTTTACAGATTTATATATTTAGTTTTATAAGATATGGGATTCAACGGAAAGAAAATAGCTTCAACTTTGGAATCAGACTATTTAAGTCTGGATCCACCATTAATGAGATCTAAGACTTTGGAGAACTCTACCTTTCCTGTCTTTATAACAGGAAAAATAATAGTACCTACTTTATAGGGTGGATAGAGAATTAAATAAGATAATTAATTTATAATGCTTAGAACAGTTCCTGGCATGTAAGCAAGGACACAACAAATACTACCATCATCATTTAACCAATACCACTAAATTAAAATCTAAAGGGACTTATGGGATATCAATAATGGAAAAGTAAAGTAACAACAACAACAAGCTGGCTCTACCACTACTTTTCTTGTTAGCAAAAGGCATTTGTCAGGAATGTAGACTGCCAGGGTTAATAGAACACATGCTACTTTATGTGCGTGCATTAATGAAAAGGATGCAGTATATGTTAAGAGTTGCACAACCTTTATTCCAGTTGTGTTCATCTCTACACTTACCCCAGACTCCGCCACCTCTTCTTCCTGTAAGCAAGAGCCACAAACATTGAAGCATGTGTTTGAATAGGAAAGCACAGAAAAAAGACAACGGTTGAAAGTCAGAGAAACTATGCAGACAGACAGAACAGAAAAATTACTAGGAAAAGGTTGAAGCTTAACATAAAATGACTTTAATGGAATGCAGGGTGGTAGGGGGGCTAAGATGTATTAAGATGTGTACTGAAGGTCTTTTAAAAAATTAAGAAAAATATTATTTGGAACAATTATGTATTTAATACCTAACTCATCTAGAGAAAAATACTATTTAATATAGCTTCTAGAAAAGGAAATATAAAAGGAAAAAAAAAGAACTTTTGAACTTATTTTCCCTGAAAATATTTTGAGCCACTCACTTTAAGAATGAAATTACAAGGAACATTAAGATTTATAATTTCACTTTTAAGTTCAGAATTTTTTCTGTCAATGTAGTTTATTATAAGAAATGGCAAACAGCAAATTTAACTTAAAATGGAAATATGCCATCAGTCTTTAAAACAGCATAATATCCATATAAATACTCCAACTAAAGATAAGTTTGTCAGTCAGCAAATCAATTATGTTGAAATAAAAGGGGTTTCTTAATCCATACCAGATAACACACACCGCAAAAATAGACAATTATTTGCTCAAAGAAACATACTGCATTTCAGTACTAGCTAACAAATCAAATTGATTTGGTGAAGGTTCAGTGCAATAAATGTTTTATTTTCCCCTTGCCTTATTTTACTCAGCCTAGGCGATTCTCAGGAGTCCTGGTATGGTTCTGTGGGCTAATGCAGCAAACTGCAAGTTATCTGAACTGCAAGGTTGGTGTGGTGGTTCAAGTTCACCAGCTGCTCTTTGGAAACCCTATACAGCGTCGCTATGGGTCAGAACTGACTTAACAACAACAACAAGCCATTCTCAACAACACAGGTAGACTTATTCATTTCCATTTTTTTCTCCTTTGCTCATTTCTGAAGCATAAGCTGGTGCTTAATGTATTATCAACTGGGCTGTCAAGGTCACATATATGCATTGTTAAGGACCAAGTTGGTAACATATGTGTAAATGGAGGGCTTTGTAAGGCAACAGGGAGGGGTGGGGCCATGGTATATCTTTGAGACATCCAACAACAAGTACAAAGAAACCTGCTTACAGGTTTGCTTTGGTCCCTGGTTCTTAATGTTTCTGTTTCCAAACTCTTGGGAGATGGGGAAGAAAGGGGATTCTGAGCATGTCCTTTCCTCTAGACCTCGAATAACTCTGAACTAGAGGAATCATTAAAACGATTAATAGCAAAAACAAAGACTTTTGAACAGTGATGTAAACAAAACAAAACAAACAACAAAACACCAATCCTGACATACATTGATTCTGTTTGATTACAAAAACTCCAACTGTGACTTTTAAAGAAACAAAGTATTGTTTCCTTAGCAGAGTACATATTTTTAAACCACGGGAATTGTGTTTGCCACTGCAAATATTTTATTTTTCGGAGCTCTTATAAACTGAAGCTAAACATACAGGCCTGGAGGAAAATCAGACTCAAAATTAAAACTCTCATGTGTATTTACCCAGGAAATCTTAACACTGGGAAGAGTTTGGTCTCCTTGTAATCTGAGGAAGGCTTTGTAATTACATTAAAACAAATTTTTGGAATTCTGAGAAGTATTCTTAGAAGACTAATACAAATATAAATAAAAGTTACCATTTTTATCAAAAATGGAACATGCTTAAATTTGCAATTTGTGAACTATATCAAAGAAAGGAATCCTGGTGACACAATGGTTAAGCACTTCACTGTTTGAACCCACTCAGTGACTGCAGAAGAAAAGACCTTACAATCTGCTTTAATAAAAATGATAGCCTTGGAAACCCTAAGGGGTCATCCTATAGGGTGTGTCCTATAAGGTCACTATGAGTCATAACTGACTTTACACAACAGTAACATAGTATAACTAGAATATGGACTATATTTTTGAAGACTGAGTTATCTAGAAATAGAGCTTTAAAAATATTTATTGAAAATAATAGACATATGCATACTTTATAGCTAAAATTATAAACCAGATGAAAACACTGGGGTAGTGTGATAACCACAGTAAAATTTAACTATTTTCTTAGACTTATATTCACCAGTATTTTCAATAACAATTACAACACAGAATATCCACATATATACTCAAATGAATGTCAGACTAGATCTGTGTTCTACAACAGGGTTTTCAATGGCTAACTTTTCAGAAAAGATTGCAAGGTCTTTTCTTTAAGGCACCTCTAGGTAGACTCAAACCTCTAACCTTTTGTGAGCAGTTAAGCACATTAACCCTTTGTACCACCCAGGGATTTAGATGGCCAATAAATCATAAATGCAAGATTATCAACCCATATGTCACTTTTTAACACCTTTACACATTTCAATGCCATACCTCTGTCGGAACATCATAGCTGGATCCATGTTAGCAGAAGTCATTCGAATAACTTGACGAATTTCCTTGGCAATCATTCTTAGCTTCTCAAAGTTTACTAAACCATCGACTTTGGAGTCATTTCCTACAAAATGAAGCAATTATTTAATTTTCTCAGTTAAAATATTTATATATAATGCCACAGAAGAGAGGATAGTGAGACTTTGCCTCACATACTTTGGGTATGGTATCAGGAGGGACCATTCCCTGGTGAAGGACATCACATTTGGTAAAGGATCAGTAATAAAAAAGGAAGACATTTAATGAGATGGACTGACAAAATGCTGCAATGATGGACTCAAACACAGCAATGTTTGTGAGGACAGCACAGGACTAGACAGTATTTCATTCTGTTGTACAAAGGTTTGCTTAAGTTGGCAATGACTTAATGGCACCGAACAACATCAACAACATATATAAGAAGCATATTCCTGGATGGCACAAAGCAGAATCTTCTTTTTAAAATTCTAATTTAAAATTATTAGAATAGTTAAATCCATAGATAGCTCAAAGCCTCCTTCCTGAAAATGAGCTATTATAAATTTTTAAATAATTTTTTATGGGAGGAATTGTTTGGTATGGGACTAATGCTTATGAATATAGGAAAGTGGTAAACTGATTTTGTGCACAGCTTCTAAAACCAATCTGATTATTTTGTGAGCACACTCTAAAACGTACAGTCCCTCAAACCTACTTCTCCAGACACTCAATTCACTTTCAGGAAAACACCTGTATCTGCTCTTTGGGGCAGCAAAGAAAACAAGCGCTGATCTGTGGGCCAGTAAGTAAATCTAGCCCATAAACAAGTTTTCTTTGGTTCATAATATTTTACAAACACGCAAATGACTTATCAATATTTATGAAGTAGACGATCCCATATAAATACAAGAATTTTTTACTTCTGTTGAAAAAAGGGGTATGGGTAGTAGTAAGTTCCCAAATGGAAATAATTACGTTGGAACTAAGAAGTATTTGCCTCAGGATTATCCATTCCTTAGTCCGCCATCTATTTATTCCTTCTTGGTATTTGAATTTATAATCAATAACACAGCTACGTTATTTTTGGTGTCTATTAAATAGTTATTTGAAAAAAAAGTCCAGGCAGCATTCAGATACCTACTTTTCTTTCAAGAGATTAAGTATGAAATCAGACTTTGCCCAGTTGTTGGTTTACCCATTCAAAATCACAAAGCAAAAATTCCGTGTGTTCAAAGGGCAAGCTGACTGTCCAGCGCAGCATCTTTAATGGTTAGTGTAACCCCAGTTCATCTCCCACAGCAGTTACTGAGGTGCCTCTCTGTAAGTCAGAGGGCCTGAAGCCAATTTTGAGAGTTACATGGTCTGAAATACAGGGTAGTTTTCTACCTCACAGTAAACAGCACAGTAAACAGTAAAATACATGAATTGCTCAGGATCTCAATACAAGCTGGAAACAAACAGATCATCAAAGTATACAAGTCACATAAATTTGTTAGAAAAAATGTTTGAAGCCTACATTTCTTTATGAAAAATGAATGAATATGAAAGAGTAGACATAATTCCTACTGAGAACAACTAAAAAGCTGGACAAAACATAAAACAAAAACACACTTGAAGGCTTCAAAGAGCTAACAAGGCAGTGAGAAATTATAAAGTCAAGTTCAAGGAGAATGTGGCAGAGAGGCAGGCTTTGCATTTCCCAGTATTTGTCAAAGTAAATATTCAATGTGTTGGGTTAAGACACTGATGGCTACTACATTCTGGGACTACAGATGAACTGAATATACATCAGTGTTTAATTATGTCAGAAGTTAAAAAGAGATTAAGGCAATTTTGGATTACTTTCACCCCTAGTTATCTGCCAGAAGTAAGCTTTAGTTCTCTCTTGAAGAATGGCATAACATCCAAAGCCTCAGATTATTTCTGTAATTTCTTAATCACAATATCCATTACTTAGTCAAAAATAAATAGATACATCAAAATAAAAGGTTGTTGTTGTTCAATGCCATCCAGTCAGTTCCAACCCATAGTGACCCTGTATAGGGTTTCTGAGAGCAGCTGGTGAGCCTGAATGGCCACCCTTGCAGATCAAACTGACTTGGCAACCCAGCACATTAATCTACAGCGCCACACCAGGACTCCAAATAAAAGGTAACGTAATTAAAACATAGGAGAAATAAGAGGTAAGAGAATGGACCCTCAGGGGATCCAGACTACAGTTACCAGAGACAGACTTTAGGAACACAGTAATAAGGTCTAACAGGTAAAATTAGAGTCCTTAAAGGAGAGGAAATTAACAAACAAAAAATTTAAGACATGAGGATCTAGAGTTTTCCAAAACTGATGGAAAATACCAAGTCATGGGATTCAAGATGTCCTATAAACAGGCAAAATGAAGCCAAAATATTAGAAATTAAGGATAGGGTACTATTTTGGGAAGGTACATGAGTGGGACTTCTAGGATGCCGAAACAATTTTATTTTTTTTTAATCTGGGTGTTACTTGTGGGTGTTTGTTTTGGCATAATTCACTATATTGTGTTTTTTAAAATTAATTTATTTTTTATTGTGAACTGAGTGGTAGTTTCCATGGAAGAACATCGGCTTTACACCATCGTTTCACTGCAATGATTACAATCTTCTCCATGCATCATCATTCAACAGTATTTGTTTCCATTCCCTCTGTTTTTCTTTTTCTTTTTTTTAGGAGGGAGGTGGGGGGGGGTGTGTGTGGACACAAACACACTGAGGAAAATAAAATAATTTAAACAACCGAAGGGGCACACTGTGCAAGCCTGCTTCCTGGCCGCCAGCACTCAGTCCCTCTTTTTCCATGAGTCTAGAGCCTTCAGCTGCTACCTCTTTCCATGTCCTTATCTCTGCCTCCATCTTTGGTGTCGCTGCTTTTCTGGATAGGGTCACACATTCCGCTTGTGCTCTTCTCCCTTGATGGTCCTAGGGTCCTCTGTTTCTGGACTGTAAGATTAACTACTCCCTTATTTTTGTTACAAAACTTCCACCTTTACAGTTGTGACAGTCGCAATTAGACATAACAATTACTCATTATTGAATCATAAGAATATTATCCCCATCTCTTTTCACCAGATTAGTCTAGACAAAATGAAAACTCTTCAGTGGGGAACTCTATCTTCCCCCACACACTCTTAAACTAAACTCCCTCTTGAAAACTTGTAAGCCAGTCACTTCGTGCCTTTATCACTCCCTCATTTTAAGTTGCCTGTCCCTTTCTATCCTGTATACAGAGGGGATAGCATTGACACTTGATGTGAAGACTCCTTCCTTCTCTGTTGGTATTTTGAGCTACTACATCCGTAAGTATAGGTCAGGTTCATCAAATTGTAACAATTTACATTTATTTCCTCCTGTAGCAAAAATTGTTTTTTTATCTTCCTCTAGTTGAGGTCTGATTATCAAGCTATTGGGGCTAGATTAAATGGGTACTATCTGCAAATTTGGGTGTCTTTGTGCATCTCCCCTAACTTCATATCAGCTGGATGCTTCACTCTCAGCTATAGCCCTCAGTGGTTATGTCCTTGTCCATGGGCTCAGGAGTCTCCAGGTCTCACCACACTTTGTACCAACCATCCCTTCCTCTTCTCCAGGTCAATGGGAGTCTATGGAACATGGTTGAAATCAGCCCATTTCTTCATTGTTGCCTTCCTTCCCCCCCCTCTTCCACTCACCAATATGGTCGCTAGCAAGCTTACATGCCTGCTCATGTGTTCCCTGTGAATTTCAATCTTGGAGGGGTCACTATATTGTTTTGTATGTGTTGTTGTTAAGTGCTGTCAAGTTGATTCCGACCCATAGCGAGCCTGTACAGGGTTTCTGAGGCTGTAATCTTTACAAGAGCAGAAAGCCTCATCTTTCTCCCATGGAACAGCTGGTAGTTTCGAACTGCTGACCTTAAGGTTCGCAGCCGATTTGTAACCACTACAGTACCAGAGAAGACATTAATATAGGAAAAAGTCAAGCTAAAAAGTTAGAAGAAAAAATATTACCAAACAAAACAACGAATCATTATCAAACAGATTTTGGTGCATGTCAATTTTATATGTTTGAATGCATAGGGTAGTCATGTAAATTTGTTCTCATCAACAGTGTGGCTTTTTGGATTCCTAAAATTTACTTCATTTAACTATATAATCATTAAGCTTGAAAAAATAATAACAAATCTATAGAAATAGCTAAAGCTAAACATGCTCATTACCTTCATGTAGAAACGTCATATCCTTCTTGACAACAGGAAACAGTGGAATAATTGGAGGCTGCATGCTTTGACTACTAAGTATATTTCTATATTTTGCCATGTTTCTAGATGGATCAAATAAGTCTTGCAAATCTTGAAGGTGTTTCTCATATTTGTTTGGTAACTTTTCCCAAGTACCTCTTAGTCGTGCTACAGATGCCAGGTTCAAGCCACTGCCAAAAATGAAAATGGAACATTAACAAAGATCTTGGAGGTGGGAGAGGAACACAAGTCAGTAATATACATTCACCTTCTCTAATAAAGCTTGAACTATGTAGAGGCATTGTTGAAGTATACAGAGTAAAATTACTGGTGGTGGTAGAAAAATGGTATTACTTGTATCTTCTTTCAGAGAACTAACTACTTTACTTGTCTACAGTTTTTTTGAACAACAAAAACATTTAGGAGATTTACTATCTCAACAACAAGTTTAGAGAAGGGCAGGCTTCAAGCTTTTTGATTCAGAGGCTCAGCAATGTCATTGGGGCCCAGATAATGCTCTTCGGAAACCTTATACAGGGTTGCTATGGGTCGGAACTGACTCGATGGCACTTAACAACTACAACATATGTGTCTCGTGAAAGGAGATGGGGATAGGATTCTTTTGATACAGTAGTGAGGAACTGTAACCATGACTAACTGTGACTGTTGCAACTGTAAAGGTAGAAGTTGTGCAATAAAAAGGGGGGAGTAGTTAATCTTATATCTAGGAACAGAGGACCCTATGGCTATCAGGAGAGAAGAACATGAACAGAACACAGGATCCTAACCAGAGAAGTAGCGATACCAGAGATGAGGCATGGAGAGAGAGAGTAACTAAGGACTCTATAGACTCATGGAAAGAGAAAGGCTGTGTGCTGATGGGCAGGAGGCTGGCTGGCAAAATGTGCCCTTTAGTTGTTTAAATGAGTATATATTCCTGCATGTTTTTGGGTACACCAAAAAAATTTTTTTAAAGGGTATCGAGGCAAATACTTTTAACTGATGATGCATGGAGGGGATTGTAATCATTGCAATGAAAATAAATACAAATTGGTTGAGTGCAAAACCGGCATTTTCCCATGTAAACTATCACTCAATTCACAACAACAGTTTTAAAAAAAAGAAAAGTTATAAACATAGGCTCTATGACAAGTTACTATAAAGAAAAACAAGTAGTTAAGGAGCATAAAGCCGAAACGGCAAACAAGTCAGGTATAAAACAGACTATTTTAAACAGGGGAAAAATGAATAAATTACAAAGTAACCTCAAAGAAAATTAATATACCTTCAGACCAAAATAAAAGAGGAAAACCAGAAAGATTTAGTAAACATTAACACAATGAATGAAAATAAAAAGAAAACCCACATATAAAATGAACTCAGTGAAGGAAATTATGTGGAACAAAGAAACCAGCAGATGAACCTGAAGGACATTATACTGAGTGAAATAAGCCAATCGCAAAAAGACAAATATTGTATGACACCAATGTTGTAAAAAGTTAAGAAAAGTTTTTCTTGATAAAAGAAACAATCTACTGTGGTTATGGGAGAGGCGGAAGGAACATTATTCATGGGCTAGAGAGTATGAGTTGCAACCAACTCAACAACAGACACGTGTTAACATGGGCAACAGGGCAGGCAATATACAACAAGAGGGAGGCTGGCAGAGGTAACGGAAGACACAGGGAGGAAGGAATAGAGGTAAACACTGTTAACTGATGGTACATGGAGTGGACCGCAATCATTGTAAAACAGCAAAGTATATAATTTATTAAATGTAAAACTGATGATCTGCTCTGTAAACATTCATTTAATTCATGACAAAAAGTTTTAAAAAATTGTTTTAAATAGTCAAAGGCTGGAAACAACATATTCATAAATATTGTGTGCTTCACTATACAATGGAATATTTTTACTGTTAAAAACATTTTGAGAGTGCTCTCTAAATATTAATTTGGAATAATCTCTAAGATAAAACAAATTATGTCAAGGCACTTGAAAAAATGCATTTATAAAAAAACCATGCTTACTGTTCAGAAAGAGACTGGAAGAACCTGAGGCTATTCTGTCTTACAGGATCATGATGAGTTGGAATTGTCTTGATGGAAATGTTTTGTTTTGCTTTTTGAGGGGAGGGCATACTTGCAATAAACATAGCATATCTTTTTTTTTGTTTTTTTTTTCTGTTGTCTGTTTCATTAAATTTTTTTTTTTTTTTTTTACTTTTTATTGTGAACTAGGTGAAGGTTTACAGACAAGATCATCAGCTTTACTTTCAGAAAATTATCAACTTTGCTTCATCTCAATGATTACAATCCCCTCCCTGCAACAGTTATCCTACTTCTTTCCTATGGCTCTCCATTTACATCTTATATTTCACAAATTAACAAGGCAAAAATATTTGATGTACTCTTACAAAACAAATATATATATATCCACTTAAATGTTCAAAGGGCACGTTCTACTAGCCAGTGTCTTGCCTGCAGGCTCACAGCTTTTCTTAGTCTGTGGACCTAGATCAGATCAACTGATCTGTCTTTCCATGCCACCACCTAGGCCACTGCCTCTGCTGTTGCTGTTCTTCTAGATATGGCTCTCACGCTCCACTCATGCTTCTGGGATCATCTATTTCTGAAATGAAAGATTAACTACTCTCCGTGTTTAGTTACACATCTTCTACAATTACAGTTGTGACACAGAGTATCTTTTAAATGAAGACTCTATAATAGTGGCTGGCTCCAGGGAGAGGAATTAGAGTGAACTGGATTGGAGAGTTTATAATGCATACCCTTTTAATTTCAGAATCCTGCTTTGGCTCTGTGAAATAATGCACTGGACTGCAAGGTTGGTTTGATCTGCAAGGTTGGTGGTTCAAGCTCACCAGCCGCTCCCTGGAGACCCTATACAGGGTGGTCACTGTGAGTTGGAACTGACTCAATGGTACTAACAACAACATTATTCACTATATTAAATCTCCATTTCTTGCTGGACTCTTTCTCCCTTAGTCCACACAATGAAGAGGGTCTGTACCCCATTGCCATCAAAGAGATTTGGATTCATAGTGTATCTTACATTTTTTACACACAGAGCTCCTTCACTCACTTGGTTTCAATCACCTTTCTTCATAGAGTAGACTATAACTGAGTTTCTAATTACCATAACCTTTATTCTTTGCTTTATATCCAAATAAAGTCCCTATCTAGTCTTCCAAAGATTTGTCAGCAGCATCTTTGTTGTTTTAGACCTAGTTGTCAAAAAATGTGAGTCTGATGGTCTAATTTCTGCATTTTACACATGAGAAAATTATTCCTCGGTTTTCCATTGACACATCACTGCTATGGGGAAAAAGCCAGGAATCATTTACAGGTATAGTTTTCTAAAGACCATTTTGTTAATTCAATACTACTTAATATTTCTATAGAATCTAGTTAAATTGTAGCCATTAGTTAATTTCATAAAGCAGCTTCCTATTATCATGACAGACTTAAGATTAAAGACTCCCTATACAGTATTGTGTTGTATAGCACTGTAGGATACACACTGGACTGCTAACTGCAGTGGTTAAAACCCATACCAGGACTCCTCAGAAACCCTATACAGGGTCATTATGAGTCAGAAATGACTCTATGGCACTTAATAACAACAACAGTACTGTAATGTGGAGCCCTGGTAGCATAGTGGGCTACACGTTGGGCTGCAAACTGCAAGGTCAGCAGTTTGAATCCACCAGCTTCAGGAGAGATGAAGCTTCCTGCTTCTGTAAAGATTTACAGCTTCAGAAACCCTATATGGTGTCACTATGAGTCAGAACAACTTGATGGCACACAACCACTGCCACCATCACACTGTTTTGTTTCCACATATAACACAACCACACATGAAGTAGGAGCCCTGGTAGCGTAGTGGTCACGTTGGGCTGCAAACCGTAAGGTCAGCAGTTCAAAACTACCAGCTGTTCTGCGGGAGAAAGATGAGGCTTTTTGCACCCGTAAAGATTTATAGCCTCGGAAACCCTGTATAGGGTTGCTATGAGTTGGAAACGGTTCCACAGCACTTAACAACAAAAACAACAACACATATAATGCAAACAGTGCTCAAAGGAAGTGAACATGTGAGGAGTTTGCATGGTTTGACAAAAAAAAAAAAAAATCTAATATGCACATTATTCGTGTAAAAATAAGGTAAATATTCTACTCTCCCTTCTTCCTATTATTTAAAAAAAAAAAAAAGGAATTCTGGTACTGTAGAAGATTACAAGCTGTGCTACTAACTGCAAGGTCAATAGTTTGAATCTACCAGTTGCCCCTATGGAGAAAGAGATGAGACTTTCTGCTCTCATATGCTGGGGACAGCATACGCAGACCCTGGGTTGATCAGTGGCAGGCCCCATTAAACCACCTCTGAATATAATCAGTTTAACCCAGATGCTCTTCTTCCTCCTGAAAGTATATAGGAATATCAAGAACAATGTAGCATTTTAGGTATAGATAAATGAAGCCCGGTCCCTGAGATCTTGCTCACAAACAAAAGTTTGCAAAGTGTACAAAGACAGCTTGGCTCCTTTCAGGAACCTTGCTTTATGTTAAGTATCCTTACGAAACTGCACGTTGCTACTCTAGATCATTTAAACCTAAAAGTTAATATATAACAGCTTGATTGAACCTTTTTTTTTGTAAAAATAAAAATGTTAGATTGTTAAGAAAAACTGAAAATATCTTAAAAGTTGTTCCTGTGAATCATTATGTCCTGTTTTGAATGATTAATCACATTTCAGTTTCGTATCCTGTCTTAATCACATCCTCCCTTTGTGACATCCTCACTGAGTGAATTACATCCTTCCTTTGTAACAAACCCCTCCCTAAAAAGAGAATAAAAGGCTCAGGTAGAGTTAGTTCTGCATGTAATGCTGTGCAATGCTGCGCAATGCTAGGCAAAATGTTTGCAGATCTGTCCACCTGCCAGCTTGCATCATACCTGTGTGTCTGTCTTTTTTGTATATATTTCGTCTATCTCTTTCTCTATTACTTTCGCCACCAGATCTCCCCTTTTCGTGACACCCACACTTCCTTGTTGAGGCGGGACCCTGACAGAGGACCTCGACACTCGTAAAGGTTTATAGCCTCAGAAACACTATACAGGGTCCCTATGAGTTGGAACTGTATTGTTTCCACATATAACATGTCCACACATATAGTGCACATAGTGCTCATCAGAAGCTAACACATGAAGGTGTTTGCATGGTTTGAAAAAGAAAATTCTAACATACACATTATTCTTGTAAAAATACAGTAAATATTCACATTGCCTTATAAACAGACCAAATGACAGCCCCCTTCTGTTTAACTAAGACTTGATTTAAGAGAAATGCATTGTTGATTAGCAAAGTACTAAAGGTCAGAAAACAAAACAAAACAACAACAACAAAAAGCACTACTTGTAATAAGCAGTTAGAAAGATTTCAGAACTCATGTATTTACTTCTTTCTCTAGGTTTATTAACTTCAAAGGATTTTTATAATTCTAATGTCCTTGCATGCTTGAGTGGCATCACATCCAGTGATACTTCCTGCAGTGCCTACCATACCGGAAGAGATCACCAAATGGCTGCCAGTATTATTATCACTGCCTTTGTTGTCACTGTTGTTTTTCAAAACAGTAATTTTTAAGTGAAAACTTTGATACCACACTGTGATTCTTACTGCCAAATCACAGTGAGGTGGGTACTTAAAGATATATAGTATAAAATTTTGTTAATAAAGATCAGTTTCTGGGCATACATCAAAAGAGCAAGAATTACTCAAAGTGAGGGATAGAAGAAAAATGAGAAGGCAAGCGTTTATCCACCCTCCCCAAAAATGTTTTCAGTGAATGATAAAATAAAAACAGAAAAAGTCATTGTCATATGAAAGAAAAAATATATAGAGCTTAACAATGCATTAATAATAGTATACTAATTGAGCTTTTCTTCTCCTGGACATCTAATATTGAAGCACAAAACCAAATTCATGCCTAATCTCATGACCAAACCACATGTAGTTATTTATATCTACTTTGTAGAAACTTACCTTATTATTGCAAACATGGAATTGAAGTTCTTACATTCTCGACAATGAAGTGCAATTTTAATAAAATGTTTAATAATCTTCATTCGTTTGAGCTGATTTGATTCAGTTAAAATTTCTGAGGCAACCCAAAAGGTTTCTTGGTTTACAATGTCCTCAAATTCTTTCAAGTGAGTACTTCCTGTTTTGGAATCTAACTTATAAAGGTCATCAATGTATTCAGTAGGTTCAATATTTCTAAACAAGTCAAAGTCCCTCATTGACAGCTGGGTGGCCACTTCAATCGTACTGAGCTGCAGCATGGATAGCTGGCTTTCCTTAACTAGTTCTTGAGCATCTTCATCTGAACATAACGTTTCTGTTTCCATGTTATTCTTTAAATAATACCTGAAAGAAAAAAAATTAAAAATTGTAATCATTATTAGTAACTTTATTTATTAGTAGTTTTCTTCTTTATTAGTGTTATGGAATTAATGTTATCAATTTTAATTGCACTGTTAACAACTTTTGCACCAAATATAAGAATATTTACTTATAAATGCAATGAAAAATTAAGATTTTAAATGAGTTTTCTGCCATGTTTATTATTTTAAAGAGTAAAGTAACAACAATGCTGATTATGCTGTGAATTTAATAATTTATGAAACTACTTATTCACTGTGTGTGAAAAACCATGTGTATGTATTTTTTAGAATATACACACAATTATATGAGGCTCGTCAAGGCCAGCACCTAGAACAGTATCTGACACACAGCTGGTCCTAGATAAATATCCGTTCATGGTTAGAATGAATTCTGATAAAAGCAAAATGAATCCCTGAGTTAGGACTATTTACATCTCTGCTACGTAGCAAATTCTGTCCTTATTTCTTTCTTAACTTCTAAGAGAAGTAAACAAGAATAAAACCCATAAGGGAAGAGAAATTTTCTACTAACAGTATTTCCCTTGTTAAATACAGTTCATTCCAGCAAATGGTACTGATTGGCAACCATACAAAAAGACCTGCAATTTTCTTTCTTCTTTTTAGATCAATAATTTCATAGTACTTAAAATCTAAGACACTAATTTAAAATATTTATAATCAGGCAACATCTTGTACAGACTGTTGCTTCACATAAAGCTTTTACTTCATGAAATGACCTTTTCTGATGCACAACTTTCCTGTACTGTATCTATGTTTGCGCCCATCTATATTTAACTGTCAAGAAACTATGCTGCCTCCCCCCCCACTTTTATACTGCTCACATCCCCAAGTCATCGTAATATATAATAATGTACTATAAACTAAAAAATAATTATTTCTTATATTTAGAGTACTTTATACTTACTTAATCTTTGACACTGAATCCTTACAACATCCCTATGGGACAGGTTCTATAATTACCATTCTCATTTTACAAACAAAATAATTCAGGCACAGACAGAACAGCTTAATAATTTGTCTGAGATTCAAATTTAAACAGACTGGTTCTAGAGGTCCATGCTCTTAACCACCACACACAGTCAGCAAAGCAGAGCTAATCCACTCTACATAGTAACTATGATGGCCTGTCATTTTAAGGTTCCCAAGAATCTATGAACTGGGTTCACAATACAGATTACATGATTCTCAGAAAAAATTCCCAGAGTCAACAAAACAAATATACTATCAACAGAGTCTTCAAAAGACTTTCAGATTACACTGAAATAATTTTTTAAACTTTTCTTATACAGGAAAAGTAGTTAGAAAAAGAACTACGAAAATCATAAACCTTTATCAAAAGTACTTATTGGGCACAGTAAAAAAAAAAAAAAAATCATATATTAACACATACTCAAATACACATAAAGATATGTATCACCTAGTTTTCCTTATTTGTAAAACAGACATTGGACTATTTCTTTCATTCTCCCATTTTGGGGTAGTCATTATGAGCGCTAACACCCGAAGGTTCTACTTATATAATTACGGAAACTAGAAAAGCTAGGAAAAAGAAACAGAAACAATCCTAATTCCACCTTTTAGAGAACTCAGTGACTCTAAATACATGATGTTTCTACTTAAAATTTCCTTTTAACAGGGAACCTAAATAGCACATGTACAAATAAGCACATTCACTAATTAGTACATTCACCTTCCATTAAGCTGAATTCTATCAGCTAATTTTGAGAACTGGTCCGGAAGTCTTCTCTGTTTTATAACACCCTCAGGAGTAACAGAAACTTCACAGAGCGAGTATGTATCAGATGCACCAGTCAAACCAAACTCATGAACAGCATGGCAAACTACTTCTTTAGCTGTAGTGTCTTTACTGATGATAATGTAGCAACTTTGTTGATCTGCTTTGAAAACTCTTATAACTTGATCAGGAATATCTATATAAATATAAAGATATGCCTTGTTATTTTCGAAAAAGTTACTTTAAATTCTTCAAAAAGCAATTTGGGACAAGATGATCTTATAAAACAACAAAACATACATTTCCTTTCCAGGAAGTTAACAGAAATCATTGCTGTCATTTATTGATTAAATTTTATTTTCTCAGATAATAAAATACTAACACATGTTTACAGAAAAATACAAAGAAATAGGTAAACACTAGGATCATATTCTGCATATACTTTGTAAGCCACATTTTCTTTCATTTAATAAATTATAATTTTTATAACATTGAACATTTTTCTACAAAACAATTTTTAATGGAACAACAAAGTATTCCATAATATGTAATTTAAAAGTATTCAACTGTGGTAAAAATAACATTATGTTTAACATGTTGTGTAACAATCACCAATGTCTGTTGACTACTTATTCCATCAACATTGAGACTCAGTGCTCTCCAAGCACTCTTGCCCTCACTTCATCCCTTGTAATCCTTAATAAACGTGGATCCAATTTCATTTAAGTAGGATTATAAAATATTTGTTGTTTTACAACTAACTTCACTCAGCATATGATTTTCAAGAATGACTCATGAATGAGGACTTTATTTTTCTTTATGGGAGAGTAAATAATACATTGTTTATCCATTCATCTACTGATACCATTTAGTTCCCACCTTTTGACTACTGTGAATAGTGCTGTAATGAACACTGGTTTACAAGGTTCTGTTTGTATTTCTGCTTTCAATTATTTTGGCTATACGCCTAGACTGGGATTGCTGGATCAACATGGTAGGTTCCATGCTTGAAGAACAGCAAAACTTTTTTCTACAGCAGTTGTACATTTGCATCCCCACTCACAATGAATGAGGTTCCAGTATCTCCATATCCTTGCCTACAACTGTTGTTTTCAGTTTTGGGGGGGAGAGGAGAGTATAGCCATTCTAGTGGTTTCTCACTGTGGTTTTGATTTCCATCTCCCTAATAACTAACGAGTCCTGATGTAGCCCAGTAAGATAAGTACCGAACCTTAAGGACGGTTTGAATTGCAAGGTCGGCAGTTCAAACTCACCAAATGCTCCTTGGAAACCTTATATGAGATCATTATGTGTTAGAACCGACTAGATGGCACTTAATAATGACAACAATAATGACTAATGGGCAGTCCTGGTATGGTACTAAGCAAAAAGTCAGCCGTTCAAACCCACCAGAAGCTTCTCAGAAACCCTAAACAGGGTGGCTATGAGTTTAAATTGACTAGAAGACACGTAACAACAACAAATAAGGAGACCCGGAGGCACTGTAGGTTAGCTGCTAATCAGAAAGTCAGTGGTTCAAATCTACTTGCCACTCCATGTGAAAAAATGAAGCTGTTTATTCCCCAAAAGAGTCTTGCAAACTCTATATATGGTCACTATGATTTGGAATCAAATTGATGGCAGTGGATTTGGTTTAATGACTACTAAGGAGCTCTGGTAGTGTAGTGGTTATGAATCAGGCTGTGAACCGCAAGGTCAGCAGTTTGAAACTACCAGCGGTTCCACGGGAGAAAGATGAGGCTTTCTGCTCCTGTAAAGTTTTACTGCCTCGGAAACCCTGTACAGGGTCGCTATGAGTTGGAATCGACTCTACAGCACACAGCCACCACCACCACCAAGGAACCCTGGTGGCAAAGTGAGTTAACAATTGAGATTGCTAACTGCAAGGTTGGCAGTTCAAACCTACCAGCTGCCCTATGAAAGAAAGATATGGCTGTCTGCTTCAATAAAGATTTAGTTTTAGAAACCCTATGGAGGAACTCTACTTGTTCTATAGGGTCGTATACAGTTGGAATCGACTCAATGACAGTGTGTAATGACAAAAACATACTCTGGTGGTACAGTGGTTAAGTGTTTGGCTGCAAACTAAAAGGTCGGTGGTTTGAACCTACCAGCCACTCTGTGGTAGAAAAACGTTTGACAGTCTACTTCCATAAAAACTTACAGTTTTGGAAACCCTATGGGGGCAATTCTTTTCTGCCCTACAGGGTCACTATAAGTTGGAATCAACTGGACAGCAATAAGTTTAATGACTAATGACTTCAAGGATGTTTTCATGTGTTTGTTGGCTATCTGTATACCCTCTTTGGTGAAATGTATATTTAATTCTTTTGCCCATATTTTTATTGGGCTGTCTTTTTGCTGTTAAGTTCATAATATGAACAAGAAGATTTAAAGACGTTAAAGGAAGAGTTCCATGGTCTTTTAATTATATTTGTCCATGAGCTTTTTGAAGCTCCCTCATATTATATACTTAAATTATTTACATCTTTAATGGAGCCCTGGTATGGCACTGTCAGTTAATGAGCTGGACTGAAAAGTTGGTTTGGTCAGCGGTTCAAGCTCACCAGCTGCTCCTAGGAAAGCCTATACAGGGTTGCTGTGAGTTGGAACCGAATTAATGGCACTTAACTACAACAACAAAAAGACCTTTAACGCTAGACATTAAGATTATGTACCACTTTCCTATATTATAAACAATAAGACTTCTAAGAAGTAGGTAAGGAGTCCTGGTGTGGTGGTGTGGGCTAATGTGTTGGACTGCAAGGTCGGTTTGAACTACAATGTCTGCGTTCAAGCTTGCCAGTCACTCCTTGGAAACCCTACACAGGGTCGTTATGGGTCAATACTAACTCGACGGCACTTAACAACAACAACGAAGTAGATAAAGCTTTGCAAACAATCTGATTATTTTCTCAGAAAAAAAATCCCAATAAAGAGAATTGCTGAGTTAGAGGACATGCATATTTAAAGGTTTTGACACACATTGTCTAACTTTTCTCTAAAAAGGTTATTTTATAATTCTAGAGTACAAGCACCAATTTGCCTACATCCTTACCAAAACTGTGTTTTCAATAATGCTTTCTGCCTGATTTTAAAAGACTTCTTTTTCTCCCACCCCTGAAATACATCATTGCTTAATTTTCCATTTCTCTGGTTACTGGTGAAGTTTAGTAGCTGGTAGCGCTTAACAAATTACAAGCTGGTATTATATTGTTTTAATGATTTATGAACTGGCACTGTATTTATTCTTTTTCAAAATGAAATCTGACATGCTGTTTGCTTTTTTTCTACTAAATTAAATAAGATGCCAAACACTTAAAAATTCTACTATAAAGTGGCAAACATTTTTCCAATTTTTATATTAATACAAAAATATTAATTTGATGCTGTCGGATAAGCACTCGACCACAAGATCTGTTTGAATAGCAAGCCAGCAGTTCAAACTCAGTAGCCATTTCTTGGAAACTCTATACAGGGGTCACTATGAGTCGAACCCGACTCTATGCTATTTAACAACAACAAACATTTCTTTGCCTTTGTGATTTTCATTAGGAGATAAAATCCACCTTAAAATAAATGTTCATGTGATATGTACATGGAAATAGTGGCTTTTCTAACCTGCTCTTTTTGCTCCTTCCTTGTCATATGACTACACAGCTTTCAAAACAATGCTCAATGTCATGACAGCAGGCTATGCTTTAAAGTAGCTAAAAACGTGGAGCTCTGGTAGCATAGTGGTTACGTATTGGACTGTGAACCTTAAGTTCAGCAGTTCGAAACTACCAGCCGCTCTGCAGGAGAAAGATGAGGCTTTCTGCTCCCATAAAGATTTACAGCCTCGGAAACCCTGTACAGGGTGGCTATGGGTAGGAACCAACGCGACGGCACTTAAGAACAACAACAAAAACGTAAACGTGATTTGATAGCATAAATAAAGCTAAAAATTTCCCTGTGATGATATATCAGTGATATAAAAAATAATTACAATTAGGAAGCATTTGATAGTGTGATCTTCTGGTGATGATTAAGGAGGTAGGCTAGGGAGATTTGACTCAAGGCACTGTAGACTGTTGGTCTGGCATTACTTTCTTAGATCAAAGATAAATCACACATTTATCTCAAAAATATCTGAGTCTCCCATTTTTCGTCGATAAAAGAGAAAGTAATGGAAAAGATGTGGCAGCAAATAATTTCACAGAATAAGGTCTCTTCTACCCCCCCACAAACACACTTTTATCTCTCTCTCACCACACACACACACACATCACACAATCTCCCCCCCACACTCTCGCACGCACGCACACACATTCTCCCACACACACAGAGACACAATTCTCTCCACCCCCACACACACTTTTTCAGACACACACCCAATCTCTCTCTCTCACACACACACTCTCTCACACACATATACTCACACACTCTCCC